TTCTCTCTTTCTTTCTTGCCTTCTTCTCTTCTCTTTTTTCCTCCTTTCCCTTTTTCCCTCCTTCTTCCCTTCTCTCTCTTTCTTTACCTCCTTCTCTCCTCCTCTTTCTTTCCCTCTTTCCTTCTCTCTTTTTTCCCCTTTCCTTCCTTTTCTTCCTTCTTTCCTTCTTTTTCTTTCCTTCTCTCCTCCTCTCTACTCTATCTCTTTCCTTCCCTCTTTCCTCCTTCTGTGGCCCAACTCTAGTGAAAAGGAGTTTAAAGTTTAAACCCCTTCTCTCTTCACTCCCCCCCCCACAGGCCAGCTGGGGAAGGGGAGGGGAGGCTTTTGAAGATGCCTCCCCTCCCTTTTGCTTCCCCTTCTGACATGATTTCTGGTGATGTCAGGAGGCGTGGCATATGCTAATAGCCTAGTAGCTCATTAGCATACCATATGCTAATGAGCTCCTGCAGCTCTTTTTCTACAAAAAGACCCCAGAGGGACACCTTTAGCTTTATCCTTTACTGTCTCTTAAACATCACAGAACATTGTTTTTGAAATTGCTGTTGGCGCCATGCATGGTTATTTCCCCCCTTTTTAACCACCTGGAGGCTGACAACCCTATCCGCATCCTAGCCCTGCCCCAGCCTAAAAGCCACCACTGATTGGTAGTCATTCCATTGATAGGCGGGGACACCCGTCCTGTATGTCTTCCTAAGGATCTATGTGTCCCTTGTTTTTGACGCACAATGCAGGCAAAAAAAAAAAAAAAGCTTTTTATGATGTGCCTCCAACGTCAGCCTAGATGGAGGTTTGAGCCTGGAAAAGTTCAACGTTCAGTGGAGGCCATTCCAAAGAAGGCCTCCTGAGGACAACTGTCAGAGCCAACAGTGCACAGGCAGGCAGGGCTAAGCGGGAGGGGAAGAGGCTGTAGCTAGACCTGCTTTGCACACCACAGGTTCCAGGTTCAATCACTGGCTTCTTCAGCAAAAAAGCTCTGAGGCAGGGAAACGGCCCAGGATGTTGGAGAGCTGCTACCGATCACAGCACACGATACTGAGCTCTATGGACCAATGGTCTAACCCCTTATGAAGACGCTCTTAGATTAAAATTTTCATGAGTGGAAAGCACTTCTACTCTGGCCCGTAGCTACACTGGGGCTATTGCGGGCTTTGCCCCCTTCCTTAAAGGGCCATCCCCACAAGATTTTTTTTTGGGGGGGGGTTTAGAAGATTTTTTGACAAGAATGAGGGGGCCTGTGCGTACGCTCCTCAAAAGCATTTTCTCAAAAGCATCAAAAGTACACTTCTCAAAAGCATTTAAAGGGACCCTTTAAATGCTTTTGAGAAGAAGTGGGGGATGGTGCATGCCCTCCCTCCCTCAAGATTTAAAGGGACCTCCAGCTGGTCGAGGGGTCACGTGCTCCCCACTGATCAGCTGGAGCCCCCTTTAAATCTTGCAGGAGGGATGGAGGGAGAGGGGTGGCTGACGGCAGATTGGAGCTGACATAAAAAGAATGGCAGCCCCATCAGTCCCACCAGAAAAAAAATGTTTGTCCCAGGAGCCACAAGCTCTCCGGGGTCTCAGGCAGATACTACCTGGTCCTTTTAAACTGGAGATTCAAGGAACTGAACCTGGGATCTTCTACGTGCCAAGTGGAGTTTCTTCCTCGGAGCCACAGTTCCATGACTGTTCTAGGGCAATGAATGGGGTCATTGATCTCAGCAGGAGGTTGATGTATGCCCAAGACCCTCTATCAATCGGCAGGTAAATTTACTTTGTAAATTAAAGGGGGGCGGCAACCTGTGCTCCCGCTAAGCTGTGGAGTCTTGTGAGCAAGAACTGTACTTTGTGAGCCACTGGCATTTAAGTCGTGAGCGAGCAATTTAGCGACTGCATAAGTTAGTTTGCTCGGGAGCCATCCTTCCTGAGCTGAGGCAAAAATGTGTGAGCCGGAGGCTAAAAAACTGTGAGCTAGCTCACACTAACTCAGTTTAGAGGGAACACTGCCGGCAACATTTGTGAAAAGTCCTGAGTGTGCTGTCTCCAGGAGACCAGGAGTTTGTGGGAAGAGGAGGAACATAGACCATCTTGAATTTATCATTCTAAGCAGGGGGGATTAGAGTTGGGGAGGGGGCATGAATGTGAATCCAGGAGATTATAATCTTTCCAGGCCTCTGTCTGCTTTGAAGCTCAAAGACTTTGGATCTGAGGCCGCAAAGATCTCAGAAAATCCCGTCCAAAGACCCTGCAGACTTGGGTTTGAGATGTTCTCCGGGCTGGTTGCACTGACTGGATGAAAAGGGGGAACTGTTCGCACTTGGGATGTCACGTGATCGTTGTTTGGACGGAACATCACCCACAACACTTACCCTTGCCAGGCAGAAGTCAATGGGCTTTGGTTTCACTTGGAGCACAAACAGCGTGGAGGAATCCAGGGTCTTGCACACCTCCACAGCGGGTCCTTCGTCTTCGACGTCAACTGCAGGTGGGGGGAGAAGGAGAACAGAGTATTAAATGGCCAGCAACTGCAACTGAATATTTGCCATCATTTTTCTTGGTTTCAGCAAAGAGAACCAGGTCAGGTTTTCTCTCCCAGCTTTCAAAGTCGTGTTCTGCTGAATTATTGGTCGCGGTCCATAGCTGGAGTGGAGAGGCCATGGCTCAGTGGCAGAGCATCTGCTCGGCATGCAGAAGGTCACGGATTCAATCCCTGACATCTCTGTCATCTGGATATCAGCTGTAATTCCGGGAGAACATCAGAGAAGCCATGTTGGATCAGGCCAATGGCCCATCCAGTCCAGCACTCTGTGTCACACAGTGGCCAAAACCCAGGTGCCATCAGGAAGTCCACGAGTGGGGCCCAAACTCCAAAAGCTCTCTTGCTGTTGCCCCCCCCCAAGCACCAAAAAGACAGAGCATCACTGTTCCAGATAAAGAACATAAAAGAAGCCATGTTGGATCAGGCCAGTGGCCCATCCAGGCCAACACTCCATGTCACACAGTGACCAAAACCCAGGTGCCATCAGGAGGTCCACCAGTGGGGCCAGACCTCCAGAAGGCCTCCCACTGTTGCCCCCAAAGCACCAAGAATACAGAGAACATAAGAGAAGCCATGTTGGATCAGGCCAGTGGCCCATCCAGTCCAACACTCTGTGTCACACAGTGGCCAAAACCCAGGGGCCATCACGAGGTCCACCAGTGTGGCCAGGGCACCAGAAGGCCTCCCACTCTTGCCTCCCAAGTACCAAGAATACCGAGCATCACTGCCCCAGACAGAAGAACGTAAGAGAAGCCATGCTGGATCAGGACAATGGCCCATCCAGTCCAACACCCTGTGTCACACAGTGGCCAAAACCCAGGTGCCATCACGAGGTCCACCAGCGGGGCCAGAACTCCAGAAGACCTCCCACTGTGCCCCCCCCAAGCACCAAGAAGACAGAGCATCATTGCCCCAGACAGAAGAACGTTAGAGAAGCCATCTTGGATCAGGCCAATGGCCCATCCAGTCCAACACTCTGTGTCACACAGTGGCCAAGATCCAGGGGCCGTCAGGAGGTCCACCAGCAGGGCCCCTCATAGGGTTTTCAAGGCCAGAGACAAACTGAGGTGGTTTGCCTCTAGCTAGCTGGTCTTCAAGGTTCTGCCGGCCTCGAAACTAGCTGTTCTACCGCAGACTACGCACATGACTACCCACCAGAAAAAGGCACCAGAAGGCCTCCCACTCTTGCCTCCCAAGTACCAAGAATACCGAGCATCACTGCCCCAGACAGAAGAACGTAAGAGAAGCCATGCTGGATCAGGACAATGGCCCATCCAGTCCAACACCCTGTGTCACACAGTGGCCAAAACCCAGGTGCCATCACGAGGTCCACCAGCGGGGCCAGAACTCCAGAAGACCTCCCACTGTGCCCCCCCCAAGCACCAAGAAGACAGAGCATCATTGCCCCAGACAGAAGAACGTTAGAGAAGCCATCTTGGATCAGGCCAATGGCCCATCCAGTCCAACACTCTGTGTCACACAGTGGCCAAAACCCAGGTGCCATCAGGAGGTCCACCAGCAGGGCCCCTCATAGGGTTTTCAAGGCCAGAGACAAACTGAAGGGGTTTGCCTCTAGCTGGTCTTCAAGGTTCTGCCGGCCTCGAAACTAGCTGTTCTACCGCAGACTACGCACATGACTACCCACCAGAAACTACCTTCATAAAATGTACACCAAAAATCAGCTTAACAGGCACAATACAAAAACACAATTGGTGTCATATTAGGGGTTTTGCCCTGCCTCTTATCCATCTGACGACCACCAGGTTAAACCCCCAGGTTAGTGGATTTAGGCAAAATGCTAGGCAAAATTCCTTAGCTATACCAAACAGGGGAAACTGCTCCAAGAAGTCATCGAATCTCATCCCACGGAGCTTTCCTGAAAAGTGACTTTAAATAAAAAGCGCTCAGAAAGCCGAAACCACGAAAGCGTGTGAGATGACGTACCTAATTCTAATGCATCGTCGCCCAAGGTGCCTTGACTGGAAATGGACGTCGGAGTCTTTCTGTATTGAAAAGAAATTAAACAACAAGTTACCAAAGGAAAAAGAACCCCACCCCAACATTGGTCACTTTACTGAAGGCATTTTTATATCCGCCAACTCAAAGCAGTTTCCAATAAAAGCAAACTACAAAAATCAGATAGCCATCTAAAAATCAGAACGGCCATAAACGCAGATCGGGGACTCAAAGGGAAACAACAGAGATCAGGGGAAAGCCCTCCTGGACCGTTCAGGTTTGTCTGGAGAGCCAGTTTGGTGTAGTAGTTAAGTGTGTTGACTCTAATCTGGGAGAACCAGGTTTGATTCCCCACTCCTCCACTTGCACCTGGCTGGATGAACTTGGGCAAGCCATAGGTCTGATAAGAGCTGTCCTTGAAAAAGAGCAGTTTCTGCCAGAGCTCTCTCAGCCCCACCTGCCTCACAGGGTGTCTGTCTGTTGTGGGGAAGGGAAGGGAAAGGAGTTTGTAAGCCGCTCTGAGACACCTTTGGGTAGTGAAGGG